TGAAAAGATGGTTGACAGGTGGAACCGCCAACCACTCTTAATTCGCAACCCGTTGGGTCATGGTTGGACCCATGCGCCTAACCACTCCAGTACCACTCCCCATATAACATCAGTCGCTTGAAGGGGATTCAAACCCAATATCAGAGGGGAGAGCTAAAACTAGTCGAACACGAATTTTGTTTGTGTTGGGCTCGTTTATTTAGCGAGCGAATTGAATACAAGTTACTTACCAAGCCGAACACCGGCTATTCGCGAAAACGAGTCGTTTTGACAGCCCTATTTACCATTCTAAATTTTGCTATTATGAAACAATTAGTCGATCAAATCAAGATCATCATTCTAGTTTTGTTACTTTGATCTACTCTTTTGAAGCCAATTACATCATACGTAATTTTTTTTATTTTTTTCTATTTGTTAAAAGTTCAATCTTGAATGTTATGTTAACGTTTGACTTTATAATCAACAAAACATTAGATAAGTTACTCTCAAACAACAAAATATGATCAATTTTGATATCAATGAGTCTCTCGTTGAGCCGGTCAGTTTGTCTATAAATTTACTGAAATCATAATTTAATTGTTTTAAATGAAAATTTAAATGTTTTAGTCCAAAACTCGCCTTGATTTCTGTGTCATTCATCGACATTCATCCCATATAATAAAAATTTATTGATAACATATCAATATATCTTCAATTTACGCATAAAAATGAACACAAATAAACTAATGTAATCATAAACATTTCGATCCAATCATTACCCCATTTGATACAAATTATTTGTTTTGTATTTCGGCTTAGTAATTGCCAAAATAGTAATCACATTATTAATTCGAGTGATTCTTATCAAACCAATGTTTTTAGATAAATATTAAACAAGGGTAAACTAATGAGAAATTTTCATACATACCACCAAACTCATGTATTTACATACCAAATACTTTAAATTTGATATTTACATTTATAATACCTTGGTATTAAAAATATATACATGAAATTGTGTATTTAACTTTTTTTTTAACTAATAATAGTAGCATTTTTATGGGACCTTAAAATTTTAGGTGTTTATATATGTAAACATAAAAGTTTAGGAGATAGATATGTAAATATATAAAAATTGTGTGATGCTAATGTAAATTTTGCTAAATAATATCATGCAAACGAAAATAGCAACTGAAGGACCATAATCATACAGCTGTTTCTCTAAAAAAATGAAAAAACGGCTATAAATCTAGCAAAGACTATTCGCCTTCTACGAAATAAACGGAGACGACAAAGATTACCCCACGATTCACCCAGGCAAACTTCATCCTCACAATTTAAACCACAGCGCCACGCCACCACACATAAAACCAGGTGCTTTTTGGGTGCACAAACAAAATGTTATTATGATATGATAGATTTGATTCCCTGTAACAGAAATCCTCCTCCCGCCGTGTAAAGGCCCCCAACTTCCACTCCTATATATATATATATATTTCCGCACTCGCCAAATTTTCGAAGGGGGGAGGCGAGTTAGGGTTTTTTGTCGATTGGTTTCCGACGAGAGAAGGGGATGGGTAGAGACGGCATGGTATCGGCGGCGGCGGTGGCTGATTCAACTATGAAGAAAACGCAGGCGTCGAGGAGTTGGGTATTGCTTGATTCTGATGGGGAGGGAACAATTCTTGATATCGACAAGTATGCGATTATGCATAGAGTTCAGATTCATGCGAGGGATCTGAGGATTATTGATCCATTATTCTCATATCCTTCCGCCATTCTGGGTCGGGAGAAAGCAATTGTTCTTAATCTCGAGGTTTGTTGCCCAACTTTTTTTTGTTTTTGGCGTGGGGTGGAGTATCTAATTCGTTCCTTTTTTGTTTGAGCCAGCATATCAAGGCAATTATTACGGCGAATGAGGTAACTAATCTTACCTTTTTTATATTCTTTTTTATATAGCTCAGATTTAAGGTTCATTCTAGTAGTAGAATGATTTGCTTTAATCTTGTTTCCTCTGTTTCCCTTAATCATCCTCGTTTTAAGCAGGTGATGCTTAGAGATCCTTTGGACGATAATGTGATTCCAGTTGTCGAGGAACTTAAAAGACGTTTGCCAGTCAAGAGTCCTGTCAATTCCGCACAATCCGAGGGAAGAGAGAACCTGGGAAGACATTCTGATGCTGAACCTGCTGAAGAAAATGGTGAGTTGTTAAGAGTTTCTCAACTTGTAGGGGCGGAACCCGCCTCTTTCTTTCAGGTGGTATGTATGTAAAATTTGAAGTTTAGTGTTAGATGTGTAAATACATAGGAATTTAGTGGTTTGTGTGTAAATTTCGCAATAATACACATTCTAGGTCTAGCTGTGAAAGCGCATATGGAGTTTAGTCCCACGTTGGCTGGAGAGATAGAATTGCCTTTTAAATAAAGAATGTCTGACGTACAGCAAGCAAAGTGCATGAATGCGCATCCAGGTGGTTTTTTTTTTATGACAGTTATGTTCATTTAAATAATTGGTACAATCTTCTTAAACAGGAGTTAAAATTATATCAATAAGTTTTAGTTTTGTACATACTTAATTAGAGCATTAATAAGCTTGGTTCTTTTAAATTATATATTTAACAAAATTAATGAGTTAAATGAGCTGTAGAATAATAGATTAAGGTTTTAATCTTAGCATGTTCGATTTGTTTACAGGTTAACTGGGGCAGGAATATAATTCAGAGGGGCAAAATAAAGATTAAATTATATCCTGTACTAATAAATTCTCAAATTTCAGGAGCGATAATTGCTCAAGCATAGGTTAGATCAATAGGAGATCCAGAAAGGAAAGTAGTCACGGTTCTTTCATCCAAGAAAAATTTGTAGATTTGTAGATCTGAGGCAGATGTTTGACTAAGGGAAAGTGTTTTGTGCCATATCAGATACACCCAATAATTCAACAATTAAATAAGCAAATTATTTGGGAACATACGAGCTATGGTTGTGATTGTAATGTAGGAGAGCCAGCTGGCCATCGGAAGACTTCAGTGGTAACTCTTATTTTTGTATTATTTGGCCAAACAATAAGACAGAGAATTAGAGATGCATTTTTACTTGCATGAGATTATATTGAGTGTAAATGCAGTAATATATTTGATGACATTTGTTCTTTGTCAGTTAGGATTAATATAAATTTATTAATTTTGATAAACTAGTGTAGAGGATGGATAGGGTCTGTTTGTTAGCTTTAAATGATAAATTTTCACTGAAATAATTTTTAATTTTTTGCAGTTCTGAGATTTTAATTTTATAAATCAACACCTCCGGTTGAGATCTTTGTTCAACCCGATCATCACCCAATACCCTCTCGTTGGCTCTGTATCGCTTACATATATCCGGGCTCATGTCCTATAATAAAGTTTGTTCAAATATTCATTCGAGTTTAATTTTGAAAATAGACTCATTCTGATTGAGATTGTCCTTCAACACAACAATCATCATGGACTGATTGAGAATATTTGAAATTCATATATTTTTATTTTACTTCAGTAAAAGTGTTAATCATGTCAACTTCTATTCTCGTTAAGTAGGATTGGATTGGTTTAGTGGTAGCTCGATTTTGTTAACTCCTTTCTCATTAAGTAGGATTGGATTGTTCAAATGGATACTTTGTATTGTTAGCTCTGATTATTGTTGGGAAGAGGATGTAACTAGCAAAGTTGGGACTTATGATCCTGTCTAATAGAAAATGCATCCACTTCTAGCTCAAGCTTAATTCTATAAGTTTGAGCCGACCCATGAGTTGATTTGCTTATTATGGAGAGAAAATAAAATTAGTTTAAGTTAATGTTATAATAAAATGACAAATAAGTGAAGTTATTAAGAGATAGTTAATAAGAAATCACTTCATATAAAATATAAAATATCATTTTTTAAAATTTTTTTAATAATTTAAATATAAATTTTTTGTACAAATTGGTTCATGAGCTACGAGTCGAGTTAGGGCTGATTTGAGCTTGGCTTGTTAGCTCATCGAGCTTAGTTCTCGAGCCATTTATCAAGCCGAGCTCAATCCGGCTCACTAGTCAACTTGACTGAGTTACACCTCTACCTACACACACCAACACGACAAAATCCTATGGAATCACCAGAAGAATCAATTATGGAAAATATAGAATGGAAATTATCAATGTGTTTCGACTGCTGTATTCTAGGGATGCTTTTGGTCAGTTTATTTCTAAAGCTACAACTTTCATAAACTCAAGCTGAGATGCATCATATGTGAGATGGATGCACTTCCTTCCAAATGCCCTTTTTGTTGTTTGACGTACAATTTGTTGTTGTTGTAGTATTTCTATACTTTTTATAAGCTTGCTGTCATTATTCCACAATTTTAGTGTTTCTCCATTATAGTTATGTAGTTCCTATTTGCTTTTACATATCTAACTCCTAAACTTTACTTTTTATATTTATACCAACCCAAATCTATCATATTACATAAAAAAAATATTACTATTTTAATTTTTAAAAAGTGAATACAACTTTTCATGCATAGGTAGAGTGGCATATATGTAAAATTGGAGTTTAAGTGTTAGATATGTAAATAAATAGGAAATGAGTGGTATGTATATAAATCTTTCTTCTTTGTATTCTAGCTTGTGTACTGCTTCAACATGTGTGTTTGTGTGTATGGGTATAGACATATACACGTGTGCGTACTTTCTAATGCTCTTAGAGAAACATGCTTGTATAAGTCGATGCATGTTTCTAAATTTTAGGGTGGCCCCTTTTTCTTTGAAAAGAATTTTGGTCGTTTCTGTGTATGGCATTTTTCATGCTGTTGTTTTGCTTTGTTATTTTAAGGAAGATTTACATTAATACCACTCGGATCCTACATATTTACAGATCTAATACCTAAACTTCAATTTTTACATATATACCATCTTCCCTATGCATGGAAAAGTATATTCCACTTTTTAGAAGTAAAACAAAAGTGTTATTTTTGGTGGGATATGCAAGATTTGTGTGGCTTGCATGTAAAAATTAAAGGTTAGATGTTGTATAAGTAAATAAATTGGAATTGGGTGGTGTGTATGTAAAGTCCCAATTTTATATCATGTTTAACCCCTCCTTGATAGTCTTTATGCAACTTCGTGTAGAATCTCCATTTGAGTTTCGGGCCCTAGAAGTTACTCTAGAAGCAATTTGCAGTTTTCTCGATTCACGGACAACGGAGTTGGAAAATGATGCTTATCCAGCTTTAGATGAGCTCACTTCAAAGGTTAGTTCAGTTTTTAAAAAGAATCATTTTTAGGAATGGTTATTCTTAGTTCTAACGCTCTTATTAGTTTCATGATTGGAATCATTCTCGATTCATTCAAATTTAACTGTTGAGGCTATCACTACGTTAGAAGCTGTGGATGCCTTCTTGGTATAGTTCAACTTCATCGTGAAGTGCAGTTTTCCTATGTTTAGCCATACTTATGTTTGATTTTGTTTGTTCATGAAAAAAATAAGATCCTTTAATACAGTAATCTTGGAATGTCTTTCTCATTCTTTGAGATTTATAATGCCATTTTATCGGGCATCTGTATACAGGAGCAAATACCTGGAAAAATTCAGCATATAGAAATGAAATTACCTATCAGTCATGATGGCGCTATGAAAGCCGGAAATATATGATGGAAAATATACTCCTCTTCGGTCTTCAGTAATAGTTTCCAAATGAATATATGTTAAAATTGTAATAAAAATTCAACTAAAAATCATATAAAGACGAGAATAAATATGTCAATGCTAACAAGCAAAAAACACAGGTTTACATTGTCTAGTGTGACACCTACTTCCATTGTTATGAAAGCAACAAAATTTCTTTAGTTTTTAAATATAGGCATGGCATTTTTTCCTCTTCTCATATCAGTTGTCCTACAGTTACTGGTGTTTTTGTTAGCTTTTTCAATCATGTTCATAAATATTCTCTTAGTGGCTAAAAATGAAAACTTGATTTAGAGTGCATGGTACAAACTGTTTCAATGTGCTGTTACCCCTTAAACGTGATTGTTTTGCAGATTAGCAGTCTTAATTTGGACAGAGTGCGCAAGATTAAGAGTGCCATGACTAGGCTGATTGCGAGGGTTCAAAAGGTACTGTTGTTTGTCTTATATGAGTTTTATAATTTGTATTTCGGGCAGGTTGAGCGCTCGAACCTGACACATTTAGATTCTTCATTTTGTCATCAACTAATATGTCATACATTCGAGTACAATTTATACTCACAAGGCAACTAGTTTGTTATGAGGATGGAAGAAATAGGTTTTAGGTAAAGTCATTTCAAATTTAGGCTTTCTGAATTATCTGTCCTTGTCCCAGATTATTATTTTTTTGTTTAACTTATTTAGTTTGGCCTCCCTGAAACTTGTGCGGTGAAACTTGATGTCTACCAATGGGTGAATTGGGGACCTGAGCATTCAGTTTCATATTTATTCTTTGATTATAGGATAGCAAGTCAATAGATTACGTTAAATTTAATTATCTTAATAATCTTAATATTTTATTAAATAATTTTCCTTTTGGGACTAATTCTACACTTACTAAAACAAAAATTATCAGGCCTAAATTCTAAGTTATGCGATGAAATATACTTAACTAAATGTAGTTACGAAGTACATTATCTTAGAATAATGAGATTATTCTATATTGAATAAGAAGCAAAATATGACCGCCAAAATGAATTTTTATTTCAAAATACACACATAACTTTTGAGTTTTGTTAACTTATCTAAGTGGAATAGATTACATTAGAAAAAAACTTAAGATTATTTAAATTCCACTATTTAAAGAATGAGAGAGAATAAACATGAATTTTACTTGATTTTCTTCAATTATAATTTTTTTTAATATAAGTTTCTCTTGTCTTAGACTCCCATATTTTTTCTACTTTGTTTTTTAACTCTAAAATGTCTTCAGCGGGATGCCTATGGCTTCTTAATGTCACCCTTTAGTGAATTTATAATGAAGTTTTTTCTTATTCTCCGTTGTTTCTTTGTTACGAAGAAGGTTGTTTCTTCAGGTACGAGACGAACTTGAACAACTATTGGAGGATGATGAAGACATGGCTGACCTTTATCTCTCAAGAAAATTTGCAGTAACAACATCACCTGATAGTTCTGCTGCTCCTAACTGGTTGTCTGCCTCTTCCATGGCAGTCTCGAGAATATCCAGAGCAGGAAAGGCGAGTGTTGCAGCCTTTCGTGGAAATGAAGATGATGTTGAGGATCTTGAAATGATATTTGAGGTTTGTAAATTGTTGATTTTCATTTGTTTTTTCATTGAAATGACTTGTTTTCACACGTTTAATTCCAACGATCATTAACTACTTTGCAGGCATACTTTATGCAAATTGATGGCACCTTGAACAAATTGAACATGGTATGAAATCTCAAGTCTCAACTAAGAAGAAGTTATGTAAATTGGGAGAAAATTGTCAAATGATCCTGGATTATTTATGGATGGTCCTAGATTCCTAATATGTTCAATTTAGTCTCTTTTAGTCAAATGCGCTCCAATAAAATTTATTAATATCTCAATTTTGATTCAAAATGATCCCATGCAGCCACTATTTTATATCATATTAGAAGAGTCGAGGGACTAAACTGAATATATTAAAAATTGAAACTACCTCACATAAATACTCCGTGGACTGTTTTGTCCTTCTTTTTCTCTATTAATATTGATTCTGTTAGAACTTTAATTTTTCTTAAACATCCTTTCTCGGTTTAAATAAAATTGCTAGAAAATTGCCCCAATTTAAATTCAATTCAATCAAAACAATATAAAGTACACCTTGATCATCCTAGGACCAGGTAAATGGCCTTGATAGAGTCATATATGATGACGGTGTCATGCATATCTACCCAATGACTCCCCAAATGGTTCCAAGAGACAATCAATGGTTATAGACTCGCAATTTGATGGCTATAATGCTTCAATCAAGTTGGTCATGGCCTTCATTTCAAAAATGTTAGGATATTGAGTAATTCTTACTCCTACTAATAGATTTGGATTCTACATTTTAAGTGTTGTGACCATGGACCATATGGCCCCAAAGAGTGGGGGCGACAAAAATAATTAAATAAATAAAATTGCCAAACTAGTAAACCCATCCCAAAAAGATCCAATTGTGATAAGAAACCTCTCTCTTTCAGTTGCCTCCCAGATCCATACACTTAATCAGTCCTTTTTCTCCCTATTCCCTTTTCTGAGGAACATCATCTCTCTCTCTCTCTCTCTCTGATATCATTTTAGAGCTTCTAGAAGGTGTTTAGGAAACGGGTATTGCGGGGAGGTGGTTGTGGAATGATAAGTGAAGGATAAATATCCCTCGGAGGCTGTCCTGGTTAAAAACAACATAGACAACGTCAAAACAATGAGGTACCGATGTCAAGGAGATTTACCACCTCTGAATAAGCGATAGACACACTACTTGCAAAAGGAAAATGATACAACACTCTGTTAGGGTAGAAATCAGACACAATCTCTAAAACACACATAAAATCAAAAGTCTCTTTAAACAATAAAATAACTACATATAAATAATTCTCTACTAGAAAAAAATATAAATGGAAAATAGAAAAATGGGAAAGAAATAAAAAAAGGGAAAAAAGATGCTAAACTTCGAGATTCAGCGCCTTTTGTCCCGATCCTATGATTGCAGGATTGATTCCACGAGCCATGGAATCTCCAAAGTCACTCTCTCATTCTTTTCTTCACATTCCTAGAATGCCATAGATTAAAATCGTGTACGCAGCTGTATACATCACCAAAATACAATGAAATTGTGAAAAAACACCTAAATGCAACTATTTTACACAGTTTTTACAATACCAAAACATAATGAAAATGACAAAAACCATGTCACGTCTTTGTACAATCTTAATGTTATGATTTCAAAGCTATATATAATTGTACACGTACAACACTATAACAAAAAAACAAAAGTACGCAGCTATGGCCACCACCCACGAATGGAAGTTGCTGTCAAAGAAGAACCAATATGCAACTTTGTGCCGCCATGATTGTTTGTCTTTTGTTTGTCTTTTCAAATCAATATGTAGCTGTCTACAACATCAAAACTCGGTGACATTGAAAAAAGAACATAAACAACAACAACAACAAAGCCTTAATCCCACTACATGGGGTCGGCTACATGAATCCTTTTTCTCCATTGCATCCTATTTAGAGTCATATTTTCATTTAGTTCTAATAAATTAAAATCATTTTTTTATACAATAAGCCCAAGTCCTCCTAGGTCTACCTCTGCCTTTCTTAACATAAGTCGAATCTAAAACATCCACTCTCCTAATCTGATCATCAGTGGTCGACGCTTAATGTGAACAAACCATCTAAGACGACTTTCTCTAATTTTGTCCGTCACAGGAGCTACACCAACCCTATCACCTATCACGGATATAATCATTTCGCATTTTATCTTTAAGTGTAAAGCCGCGCATCCACCTAATCATTCTCACCTCGGCAACACTTAACTTAGTATTATAGACTTAACTTAGTATTATGCTTCTCTTTTAAAGGCCAACATTAAACGCCATAGAGCATTGCAGGTCTCACCACCGTCTTATAAAATTTTCCTTTCAGTCTAAGCGGTACTTGCTGTTATTTACATCATCAAATGTTGTACACAATTATGTTTACAAGTTGAATTTTGTTACAAAGTGGGCATTGTTTTTTTTTTTTTTTTTTCAAAAAGTTGTGCATAGTTATTACAAGTAAAAAGAGAAAAAGATAGCTCTCATTTTGTTTTTCCAAAGCTGAACTCGTTTGCTTGCAGCAGTAAAATTGGAGTAATTTGTTAAAAACTGCCATTACACACTTAAATAGCTCTCTATATTTATTTGAAGTTTGCAAACTGTTGTTCATGGCGACTAAAGAAATCATACTAGAATTCAATAATATTGCACTATATACATTTGCTGTCGGTTCCCATCAAAAAGTGTCTTTGAGTCTATGTCACACAACTGACCTTATCACTAAAAGATGCAATTACTCTCATCGTTCATATATATATAGTACTAAATTAGTCCTCAAAATTTTTTAACGGGGCTAAATTTATCCACATTGTGGACTATTTTAACCTGTATTAAAAGATTCTGAGGACTAAATTAACACTTTTATACACTTTGCGATTAAAATTGCTCCTTGAAGCTAGCCAGAAGACTTTTCTGACACTTTTTTTGTATATGCATAATTGATGCCAAGCTAAATTTTATTCTTTATTGTTTACACCCCGGCCAAATTCTCATTCTTATGTTTTCTTAGTTGCGGGAATATATTGATGATACAGAGGACTACATCAATATTCAGGTGGTTGAAAGAATATGAGTTTTACTTTTATTATTCTTATTTTTTTCTGTTACGTTTATCTAATTACATTTTCTGAATCTTCTATGATTTTTTTCTTGAAGCTTGATAATCATCGAAATCAATTGATTCAGGTAACGTTCTTCTCTACCTCGGAAGCTATTTCAGAATGTTTCATGCATGATAGATTTGCTTTTTTACAAGAAAAAAAAAAGGATAGATTGACGATATCCTGATCAAAACTTTATCAGTATGAAATTTATACCCTTAATTTATCAGTTAGTTCATTATTCATATATGGTACTCATCTTAAATCAAATTCAAGAAATTCAAAGCCCATTTTGATTAAATATTGTTCCGGACATCTTAATCTTTTCCCTCGATCTGACAGTGGTGGATAATTTAATTTTCAACGTGTTTGCTTTTCACTGAATTTTTAGTGAGTTCTCACTCATCATAGAATTATAGAACAGCAAACTACATTATAGCCTGTGACGCTCCCTACTGTGGAATCCCGACATTAGATGATGATATAGTAGCAATAAGCTTTCAAAGCAGGTTTTTTTCTACACGCTTTCGTTGCCAAACACTTCAAAATTGGGGCATTTACATTCATACCACCCAATCCCTATATATATTTACATATCTAACACCTGATTTACAGTTTTTTTTATCTCTATACCATCCAAATATTTCATATCAAATAAAAAAATACTAATATTTTCATTTTTAGAAAGTGATAGTCACCTGTTCATGCATAGTTAAGGTGGCATATATTGATACCGGAGTTAACTCAAATCACAACGGGAAAAACAATATTATTACGGAATTGTAAACTGTTACACGAAATAAAAAACTGAAAATAAATGACCACAACACCCAAATGGCCGAAAGACAATAACGACTCTGCGAAATAAAAAAGACAACAACGCAAAACACAAAGACGGCTCCCTCTAGGGCGAACTGCAGGTCTAGCAAGGTGGCTGCGGTGGTGCTGCAAGGAGGCTGGCAGCGAAGGCAGCGGATAGGAGGCTTGCTGGCTGGTGGCTGGAAGCTGGACAACACGTAGGTGGCTGGTGTTCGGTGGCTGCTGCTGGACAGGGGCTGGAAGGCTGGGGCAGTTGCTGGAAGGCAGTTGAAGGTCTGGATGACAGCAGAACAGCTGTGTGAAGCGTCGCAGTAGCAGGGAAGGTGTTGGCGAGGCTGACAGTAGTGGGGCAGCTGCTGGAAGCGTCAAACAACAACAGGGAAGGTGTCTCCATGGCTGGCGGCAGCAAGACAGCTGTAGAAAGCATCAAACAACACAGCAGGGAATGAAGATGGCAGCAAGGTCAAGTGGTTTGCGGCTTCTGAATGCGGAAGGATAAATGTCTCATTGGAGTTGAGCTATAATTGGAGCGCCACATCGGACGAGTTACAGCCAGAGCACATTCTTTTCGTTGAGTACAGTCCCTAGAGAGGAAGAACGCCTCTAAGGCAGAAACTGAAATCAGCAATCATCAAAAAGCCTCCTTCCCAATCCTAGGCAAACAACAATATATATATATATATATATTTGTTTGTTTGTTAAAATGGTTGATAGGATTCTTGATAGAAATTAGGGCAGATAAATATTTTATTGCAAGAACAACAAACACTCAACATGATTATATAAAGATAAACACCTAAGATTCAAGATGTAGGCGCTCTGTACCAAATCCTATAATTAGAGAGGTAGGAAATCTCTCCCAAATCCAAACTCTAAGACTCAAGACAACAAACTTCTGCATAACCCTAACCCTAAACATATTAGCACTATTTATATTAAACAATAATAAATGAAAAATGACTAAATTGCCCTTAGCTTAATAAAGACTAAATTGCCCTTATGCACCGTTGTAACTCCCTCCCAAAAATACACATTGTCATCAAGGTGGAAAAAAACAGATGTTGGATCAGGTTGTATAACTCCCACGTGACGTCATCATCTGGCAATCGTTTCTTTTCAATTAGAAATTCATAGTGACCATCACCATCTCGAAATGTCTTCTTGTGTCCGTACTTGGGTCACATCCAAATCCAATAGTACCTTGACTTCAAACAAGTTAACCTTGGAGAATACTGCTACCCCAAGCAACTCATCCGCTAGCTTATTGATTCCTATAATATCTGCTAACTTCATATCATGTGTCTTTTCCATTATATGCAACTCGATCAAGATTCTTAGCCCTTCATCCTAAACCATCTCGAATTGTAGGATTTGAGAGAGATCTCATACTTCTCGAATTGTAGGTGTTTTTTTTTTTGTGTATTTGTGTGAGTTGAGTGATCTTGTATTGCTTTGATTTACTATTGGTGAAATAAAGTATTGTGTTTGATCTAATTTCTTTGGAAAAAACTTCTCATATCATTTCACTGGTGTACATGTAAAAATTAAAGTTGAGTTGCCTGTGTATATACATAGGAATTGAGTGGTATGTTTGTAATTCTTCCTTCAAAATTTCCCCCTTATTACTCGGTTTCCTTCCATTCCTATTCTAAAAAGTGAAACTTCCAAAATTGAACTTCAATATATATATATATATATATATATATATATGAGTGTGTGTGAGATATTGATGAATTATCTTTACAGTTGGAGCTGGTCCTGAGCTCTGGAACTTGTTCCCTCACCCTGTACTCGTTAATAGCTGGGATATTTGGCATGAACATTCCTTACTCTTGGAATGACGACTATGGCTACGTATTCAAATGGGTATGTGCATGTGATTATCTCTATTTATTATTCCTGATGGAAAAAATGCTTTCTTTCATTTGAATTCCCATTCCCAGGTGGTCATCTTGTCAGGAATCGCAAGCGCCATTCTGTTTCTTGGCGTACTGGCATATGCCCGTTTCAGAGGCCTCATTGGAACTTAGACTGGAAACAAATTGGTAATCTATTTCCTCTCCTGATTTTTATCATAATTATATATATATATATTAAACTATGAAATTCTCTAAATTTAAAAACAATGTTAAAACAATTGTTGCGTATTCGTATATCTAACAGTATTACATAAGTAAATTTTGAAGTTATAGTTGTCCGATGCATAAACAAATTAAAATTGTGCGGTATGTATGTAAGTTTAATTAAAATATAATTAATGTGCCAATTTTGTAGGATTTCTGATCAAAATCGGTCGAGGTTATCATAACATATTTTTTTCTCAATTCCAGTTTCACAGGAATCTGTTCTGCGGCTTTTTTTTTCTTCAACATTTTCCCCCCACTTTTTTTTTTTTTCCTTTTTCTTATTTCTGCTGCTTTCTGTTAAAGAAAGCCCACAGGATCTGCTTTGCTAGGCTCCCAATTCTCATATCTTTGGCAAATGACTTCACCTTTTTTTTTTTGTACTTTTTTAATTAAGTTCTATTAATTTTTGGAGTCTGGTATTAGTTTCTCCATTTTAATGTTGGGGCAATTACATATATACCACACAAGTCTTATGCATTTACATATCTAACACCTGAACATTTATATTTACGTGCTTACCAATCAAATCTTTAGGATCACATCAAATATATCTTAAAAATAAAATATATATTTTCATGCACGGACTTATGACATGAGGTTATTATAAGAGTGTAAATGAGCTGAACACGAGCGAGCCCAGGCTCAGCTCCTGTTTGGCTCATTTATATTTTGAGCTCAAAAAGCGTGTTTGTGTTCTGTTCGTTTGCTTAGCGAATCAAACACAAGTTGTTCACGAATAGAGTCGTTTTGACAACCCTAATCATGTTGTCGTAAGATGTTAAAACATCATTTGAATATAATTTAATAATTTTATTCTATTTTCTTAATTAATATTTTTAATTTATTATAATTCCTTGTAGCCTTGTAGTCAATTAATTTTTTTAAAAATACTACTCATCAATGAATATATATATATATATATATATATCTAATTGATTAGTAGGATTTCGAGCCAAAATGAGTCGAACGCAAACGAACAAATCTTTGTTCATATTCGGCTCATTAACTTAGCGAATGAACCGAACACGAGCTGTTCGCGAACAACGAGCCGTTTTGACAGCGCTAATTATAAGTGTAAATACATAAGAATTATGTGGTTCTAAACACATAAGAATTTCTCTTTAAAATTTGAAGTACAGTTCTAAACCATTGCCTCTGTGTGTGTGTGTGTTCCATGTGCCCAATCGTTTTGTTATTTTGATGGTTAGATTTTCAAGGCTTGGTAAGGCCTATTTGGGATATTTTTAATTCTTACCTTTTTAAAAAATATATATATATGATTATTTGGTGTATTTTTCATGTATTTTTTTAGATTAAAATGAAAAAAAAAATTAAAGCAACTAAAATTATTGAAATTTTACAAAAATACCATAAAATTCTTATGCAATATATATCTAACATTTAAAGTTTGGTAATTATGTTATCATATTGTCTATTTCTCCCTGTTCTGAAAAAAAAAAGGGAATTATTTGGCAATGTTAAGGGATTCATATTCTAGTTTTTGGAGAAGGGCATTTACATGCATAACATCCGATTTCTATATATTTAAATATCTAAAACCTAAATTTAACATTTTACATTTATAATACATAAATCTTTTATGTCACATAAAAAAATATTACAATTTAAATTTTAATAAGTGAAATTCGTCTTTTCATGCATAGGTAATGTGGCATGTATGTAAAAATTGAAGTTCACGTGCTAGATATGCAAATACATGGTCCATCGAGCTCTAGTAGTATAGGTTCGGAAAGTAATGACGGGATAAATAAGTAAATAACAGCGTTAAAGAATTTGTAGAGGGCAACGTTCGATTTTAGCGTGGGAATCGACTTGGTTCAGAGCTCATTATATTGCAAGTATGGTTGTCAATTTGGCTCGTTGTTCACAAACAGCACGTGTTCGACTAGTTAAGCAGCTCGTGTTCGGCTCGTTCGTTAAGCCTAACGAGCCGAACACGAATAACAGTTTGCTCGCTAGTGTTCGGCTCGAAATGGCTCCCCAAAAAATTATTTAATTTTTTTTTTTATAAA